CTCTGTTTAAAAGTTGCTGTTTGCATCGTTCAAACAGATTTACTTTCCAAAAGAAGAATTGCAATTTTTATTGCATTGCTGTCACACTCACCACTGGTAAGTGAAAATGGGGACGAGCACATAGGACGGCCGTACGTAAACATGTCACCAGAATGATTGACAATTAGGAGGACGAGTTATCTTGATGATCCACCGGGAAAAAGAACATCCTCCACTATACCTTTAAATGAAATATTTGAGTTCTCTGAAGCTGTGTTGTAGCGCTAAAGCTCCTCTATTCCTCCCCAAATTACCAATTTGTTCTCTAGTTATGACAGAGAATCGAGGCCTCACTAATTCATTTTTATTGAATCCCTGGAATAAAGTCATATTGTGAGAATACAGTTGTAATATTGCAAAAATAAAGTAAACTTACCATAATAATATGATAAAGTCATAATATTATCAAAAAATATGGTTTAATGAGAAAAAGAGGGACCTCAGACCGAGCCCAACAGTTTATTGCAGGAGAAGATTGCTCTTTCTTGTTAGAATTGACATAAAAGTAAGCGGCTTCCTAAATCTGGTAATATTATTTCTATTCTGGCAGTGTAATCACTTGATTCTCATGATATTCGACTTCTGGCTACATATTTTTTTCTGCTAATTTTACGTCTGTATTCTTGCCATGGTACGTCTAAATACTAGCAATGTTACGTCTTTATACTTGTAATATTACAACTATTTTGTAAAGTTACCCCTGTATTCTCGTAAAGCTACAACTTTATTCTTGCGGTGTGCAGAGTAAATTCTTGTAAGGTTACGAAGTTGTTCTCGCAAAGTTACGACGTTTTTCTCGCAAATTTACGACGTTTTTCTCGCAAAGTTACGACGTTGTTCTGGCAAAGTTACGACGTTGTTCTCGCACAGTTACGACGTTGTTCTCGCAAATTTACGACGTTGTTCTCGCAAAGTTACGACGTTGTTCTGGCAAAGTTACGACGTTGTTCTGGCACAGTTACGACGTTGTTCTGGCACAGTTACGACGTTGTTCTGGCACAGTTACGACGTTGTTCTGGCACAGTTACGACGTT